GTACAAACAGACACATGCACAAGCACACACGGGCACTTTGATAGATTAGGTTTTATGGTTTTGCTTTAATTATTCAATTATTCACAGGGTGATGATACTAATAACTTAAAATATCAACAAAAACATTACTGCAGTTGTGCCAGACTTTGAATTTATATTGCAACTTTTAAAATTCGATGCGATGTGCAGCACATCTTTAGAAATGCAATTTTATAAAACATGATGGATAGTACTGAGATTTATTGGGCTCTAATACTGTACTTTGCTGGTAATTTCACTCGTGCACTATATGTGTGAAATCAATGCAGCTGCCAGCCTAGTATTCTCATTCATTCTCATGTGGGACAGTTAGTCTGCTTGCTGTCTAGCATAACTGGTAAAGATTGTGCAGTCAAAGGCAGTAAATTCTCCCCTATCTCCACATTGTAGGCAATGATGAGAGGTTTTGAAGTATTTTAAAGAGAAAGCCCTGAACCTGTATATATTTGACTGCATATGTTGTGTGGGCGGTATGCCAGTTAGTCCCTTCCATTGTTTTGTTTTTCTGACTGATGTTATAAAAAGAACAGAAAAATTACATATTTGCTACTTAAGCTGCCCACCTGAGAGCAAGCACACATGGTGCCTGTTTGAAGAAAAACAAAAGTTATCAAAATTTATTTCAAAAGACCACAAAAGTTATTCATTTCAGTTCAACTCAATTCAATTCACTTTATCTATATGGTGCTTTATTGTGTAAACCAGAGACCCTAATACAATAATTCAGAAAAACAGTCAAACTGAGCAAGCACTTGGCAACAGTGGTAAGGAAAAACTCCCTTTTAACAGGAAGAAACCTGTTAAAGGGGAGAAAGAGAGACAGGACAAAAACACACTGTGAAAGAGAGCCAGAGATTAACGATAACTAATGATTAAAAGCACCAATTAAAGTTATGCTTTTTAGTAATCATTTGTGACACCATAATTATACCTTTTCCTTTTATTGCCTACACAACTACTGTTTGTCATAATTGCATCCGGTTAATTAAGGGACAGACAAAAAGAGCGGGAACAGCGAGAACGAGAGAGTGAGTGAGTGAGTGAGTGAGAGAGATAGCGATAGCGAGAGAGAGTCTGGCATCGCATTCAGATCCAGTACCTGTTAGAGCGCTGGATGGCCGAGTGATCAGATTAGAGGTGTCAGTGTTCGTTAATCTGTGAGGGAGCGACAGGCGGCTACACGCGCTGCTTTCGCCCGTCGTTTCATTCAGCGGCGGTAGAGGGGAGTGGAGCAGATTCTATATTGACGTCCATAGGGGAATTTCCCCTCTTTTTTTTTTTACAATGGATTCCTGCGGGGTACGAGCCTGGGTGTTTCTGTTCCTGCTGTGGCAGGACGGTTGTTGGGCATCGCAGTTTCCGACACAGCTCATGTAAGTAGGCTACAGCTCTTGTAATCCTGTTTCGATCAATTGATGTTCTGGTTTGCAGAGACCTTGTTTCAGGGAGCTTTTTTGCTTTCTCTTTTTTATTCTGTCTCTCTCTCTCTCTCTAATGAAACACTCACGGGTGTATAGGCTTCATGGTGTGCGTGGGTGTGAGAGTAGGGTGGGCAGGTCATTTCATTCATGCGGTGGTCATTTTGATAAAGACAGCTTTTTTCAGACCTCTGCCTGCTCGCGTTGTTACGCTGATTAATGTTGGTTACCGTAATCAGCAGTTTGTCACCGGTGGCTTGGCGAGCCGTGACAGCTCTTCTATGAAGTTGTAGCCTAGAGGAGAGTGGCTTTGCTCGGTCCTGCTGCTTTAGCCAATAATAAATGATAAAAGTTGGCGTTTTTCTGGGGCTCCTCATTGGCCAAGAACCAGGTGATTCTACCCTTTGAGGTTTGTTCCTCGCTATTGTAAACTGGAGTAAAACGCCCCTATTTTCTTTTAGATTTCTTTTGGATTATCAACGTAATATGTACAAAAAATATGCTTAAGTATCATTTACAGGATATTTAAACTGTAATTGATCATTTATTATAAATTTATGTAAAATCTTGTAAAAGGTGCTTCTTTTCTCAAAAGAGGGGAAGGCCTCTGAGAGACATTAATTTTCCTTCATATCTTAAAAATACAAACTTTCGCTTACTGCAAAAAATATTGTTTGATATTAAACTAGATAGCCCCCAGGGTAACCTATTACATCAACTCAAAACTATTTTTTTCTTTTCGTTTTAAAAAAAAATATTTTTGTTATATATTTGTTTCGTTATATTAAATATATTTGCGCTATTCAAACATGACCAGGCCACCATCTTCTGAGGAAAGATGAAACGTGAATGAGTCAATATACTTGTCAGAAAGGAAATTTCCGGTGGTGGGGGTGTAGAGAGGAGGGGGGATGGGGAATCTTAAACCGGTTTACCGAAGTAATAAAATAGCCAAATATGGAGAAAAAAGTATATCTCAATAATTCCAAGTCTTTTTTTCAAAAGCTGTTTAAATTCAGTATTGGATTGCTGCCAGAGCATATAATACTGAACTAATAATAATCATACGCTTATCCACAACCACAAGACAAGATTCTGACTCATAGATGGAAAGGAAACATTTCTTCTTTATCAAAATGTAAACAGTATCAGAAAAGATGAAACTGTTGCTGAAATGTTCACTGGCCTAAACTGCTCTGGTCTGTTTAGATTATAGTAATGCTGCACTGTTTACTTTGGAAGACTGATCAGTGCACCCACAACAAGTGCTCAGAAAATCCAGAAGCCATTTTATTTGAAACAGACTTACTGAAATGTTCTACACTTTTTTTGTGTAGTTTTTTAAAAAAAGCATTTTTTTCAAGATGCTTTCTGCATTTGATTTGCTTGTGGATAATCTCCTCGCTCTTATTTGTAAACTTCATTTACTGCTAACCCATACTCTTTCTGTCTTGTGTTCTTTAGACCTGCTGGCAAATTGGCCAGGTTTCAATTGTAGCGATCCTCAGTTTCATTCAGCTTCTTCTCTGTGACAAGCTTGTTCTTCATCTGCAGAGAAGAGCTCATCCTGTCAATAGAAAAGAGAATGAGACTCCAGCTCCACCTTCTTGAACAGCAGCAGTCCTCCTTTGGCTCAGGTGCACTGAGAGCTAGAGGGCCACTCTAACCACAATCAACAGCAGGTGAAGAACTGCTGTTGGAGATGGTGGAGCTGGAGACTGAGTGGAGATGGCATATGATTTATTTATTTGTTTGTTTGTTTCTCTCCCTCCCCACCACAAATAGATTCTCCATCTGTATTAAACTATATTAAATAATTCAGTTTCACCACCTTTGTATCTTAATGTCCCTTCCTCTTTTTTTGTATACTTGAAAAACATTTTGCTTAGAAGTGGAGGATGCTGTGGGGATTCATTTTTGAATGAAGAGCACAAATTGTCGACCAGATAGTCCTTGTTCTTCATACTTCTTTCTTGCCAAATGAACTAACAAACAGTAAGCATGAAAGTGATCAGTAAAAACATGACTGTCCTTGCATGCTTTTCTGCACGGCACAATACCAACGAAGATATTTGTGAGAAATAACTGATGAATGAAAATAGTTCCAGAAAGAAGAGAAACTAAAGAAGTTTCTTTTTTTCCTTTTAAAAAAAATTTGTTATATTGTGCAAGCTAATGAGATATAATAGAATTATTAAACATAGGCATCATGAGCAAAAGAGATATTAAAATTAACTGTATTTTACACTCTGTTTTATTAAGTGCATCCTCCTGGATTACACTGATCAAATGGATGGAGAGAAAACATTTTCATTATGGATAAGCTGTTCTGGCAAACTGTAAACACCTGCTCTTCTGTCTCTTGACAATCCTAAATAGCTCTGTTGTTAAAGTAGCAACTCTGGAGACAAAACATCTTACATTACCTTAGTTCTCTTCAGCAACTATTTAAAGTTAACAGAAAATAAAATTGGGGCAAAAGCTTACTTTAAAGACATCGCATGGGAGTTTTTGAATCTATTACTGTGAACCCATGTCGGCTGTGGTAGGAATATATCACAGTTCTACTGTTTGTCCCACGGTTGTAGAAAAAACAACAACAACCCCCCTCCCAAAAAAAAACAGATTAAGGGTCATGAGGTGGTCAAGTAATTTTGATGTTCAAACCCTTAACTTCACATTAAAGCAACGTTTATTATCTAGGTCATGTTGAACAGGAACTGAATTGGCCACCTGGGTGTCAGAGGCTTCAGAGTGAGGGCAGGCACTGCAGGTTGTTTTGGTGCAGCTGGTGTTTCCATGCCTCATTCTGCTTTTCTGTCTGGACTGGACCTGCTTCAGTCTTTGCCTCTATAATGATGCGTAATTAGACTGTGGTTTAATACAGCCGCCTACCGAGATACACATCATGGGCCAGCTCATTACTCTCTCTAGTTCCAAAGTGATTGTACCACAACATCTGTCTCTCTCTTTCCTGCCTTGTTTCTCTTCCTCTCTTTCTGTTTTTTGCTCTCATTTGCTCTTCTTGTGTCTGTAAAACAATGTAGGGCAGTGCCTGACCCAGTTGCCATTGGTATATGCATTTGTGTCTGCGTATGTGTGTTTAATTATCCAGCATTGTACCACAGGCTACAGTAATCAAAGCCCAGAAATCAGAGTAGAAAAATGTTGCTACCTCAGCTTAACAACATCGACTTTATTAATGTTTATTACAGGCACCTCTGGATCACCTTTTTGATTTAGCCATTGATAACAGCCCACCTTCACCTTATGATGAGTGCTAGAGTGCTAGCGCTGTGAAAGATGATAAAATGACACAGATCAGAGTACTTTGCCTTTTTAGTCTAGAAATAGAATAGATCAAATTAAACAAGATGGATGGTGCATATGAGAAAGAAATATATATATATTTATTAGTAAGGTGCAAGGACACCATGTTCAACCACTACAGCTTCACTGTGACTCTGCACTGATTCTACAAGTGTCTGAAAGTCTACTGGATGGATGCAACACCATTATTTCAAAAGACGTACGCTCATTTAATGATGGTGATGGAGAATGCTGTTGAAAACATCAATTCTAAACTTCCCATTTGTGAGACTGGATTGAAGCAGCAAAGGTAATAAAATATGATTTACACCAATTTCATAGCATTCAGTGACACCTTGTGCCCCAAGGCTGGTGCATTGTCATCTAAGGCAAGATTACTTCAGTCAGGATAGATGTACTTTATCATAGGGAAAGGGTGATCAATCTGAACAACTTTGTATTGATTTGCAGTAAATCCTAATTAAAAAGAATATTTGATTTCAAATATGCATATAAACTGACAGATATGGCTTTGGGGTGTAGCATTGTTCTATACTATTTTCCTCTGCTGCAGGAGTCTAGTGAGGTCTGTACTAGTAAGACCAATTCCCTTGCATGTTGCAGTGCTTGGTTTCTGTGTGTACATAAAACAAATGAGCTTTTCATATAGATTTCCAAACAAAGTGAGTAACAAAAATTTTCCACGCACCCATACTGTACTTGAAGAAGAGCACATGCACACATACCCTGGTTATCTCACAACCAGAAATTTACGCTGATAAGATTGCACAGAAGCTAAACTCAGGAAGTCAGGTGAAAGTGCCTCTGCCTTTCTGAATGCCAAATTCCAGGAAGCACACATACACTCTAAATCACAGTTGACTTGTCTGTGCTTCAGGCTTCAAGAGCTAAGGTCCACATAAACACACACAGTGTGTAAACAGTACAGTTTTGTTACACCCAGTGAACAACAGGATATTAAAAAGGGTCACAAAATACTTAAAGTCATGCAAACCCTGGCCTATACTGCTAAATTTACAAGGCAGAGAAAATTATCATTCTCTTGGTAAGGTTGTCAAGTTGACAATGATTATTATGAAACAATTAACAACTTATGACAGCAATAGATCAACACAAAATATGGGTAACAGGCCCATCAGCATAACACTTATAATCTGTATTATCCAATAGGCCATAGGTTCAGTGGAAATAAGCAGCCTACATGTGACGGGTAATAATATTTGCAGAGTTCAACTTTCCTTAAATCACTATGGAGTTTAAGAAGCTGTACTTTTTTCAAGTTGGAGATTGAGAAGCAAAGATTAAAATCTCCTGACTTACACTAGTAAAGCTTTCCCTAAACTACTGTATTTCACATTCACTATTACCCTGTGGTATTCCCTATCTTGCAAAGTGTCTCATCTTTCTCCACAAGTGTGCTTGCTTTGAATGTTCCTCATTCACTGTGGATTTTGTATCCCTGATGCATTTTTTCCTTGCTTTTTGATCTTCTGAACCTTTCTGTCTTGCCAACCCCCTCAGCTGTACTAAATGTCACGGTCGATGTTTTTCACGTAGTAAATTGAATGACTTTCAACACACCGCTGCAATGACAGTTTTTGAAAGTATTTTCTGAGTATGAATATCTGATTTTCAATGTTTGTTCCTGTGTGTGTGTGTGTGTGTGTGTGTGTGTGTCTGTGTCTGTGTGCATGTTGCTTCAAGGCAGCCGAATTGTGAAATGGATGTTAATGAGAACCTCTCTATGCTATATAAACTTGTCATCATTCTCATACAGTATACATGGCAAAAAAAGTTTCTACATCATTGATCTGCAGGGTCCATGACCCCTATATGGGAAGTTTGTTTCAGCTCTCTGATTAAAAAGTCCTAAACTCTGATTCTATAAGTCTCTTACCCAGTAAGTAATGCAGAGTTCAGCTGGAGCCGATATATGTGAGGGGACTCACCCCTCTGACTGCCTTGTAATCATCCAAATGTCCTCCACTGTCGTCATCTGATAAGAAAAATGCCCGAGTAGCCTTGCAGGATCGGCCTTATCACCACCACTCATTACTAAACGGCAGCTCCCCTCTCAGGCTACGTCCACACGTACACGGGTATTTTTGAAAACTGAGATTTTCCGTTTTCGTTTTAAAAAATAATCCCGTCCACACGTAAAGGCAGAAATGAAGAAAAACGCTGCTAGGAACATGCCAAAGCAACAGGTGGCGATATAATCCTAACCTGTAGAAATGTTGACCAATCAGAAGTCTAGAAGCCTCGGTGGGAAAAAGTAAACCAGCTGGGGCATTGAAGCAGAACCGAGTCATATGTGTGGAGGGACAGTAACTGTGTGTGTATATGTAAGCATTTAAACAATGCAGAGAGTACAATTAACAGTAACAGTATTGTAGAAATTCATTTCACCGAAACAATAACGTGGCGCACAGTGTGACGTCAAAAAAGGCGCACACCTTTGATGCTGCGTTTTCTCTGTTTTTCTCGTCCACATGTAAATGCAAAAACGGAGTTTTCAAAAATATCCACCCTGGCCGGAGTTTTTAAAAATCTGCGTTTTCAGTAACCAAAAACGCCGTTTACGTGTGGACGAAAGGTGCAAACGCATAAATCTGCGTTTTCAAAAATACCCGGCTACGTGTGGACGTGG